CGGAACGTCGGCTTATTTTCACCTGTACCGACATCGCTGTCTTCAAAATTACAACTTATATAAAATATATCACAAGGCGCATCGATTTTTCAATAAACTTCGAACGTTGTTCGGATTTGACACTTTGAATACCTTTCTTGAATTTACTAAGCTGTGCTTTACTTTTTCTGTAGCTGAATGCAATGACACATGACACCGGTACGCACTGAGCTAAAAACCATCCTTTGGGATAATTGAAGTAATTCGTTACTCGGCAGTGAAAAAAATCCTATTAAAATAACGACATGCTTACTTTTCAGTTGTCTTCAATCATTTCTCGTTCTCGATGTTTTCGATTTCTTTCGTTTCATTTTTTCAGGTCGCTTGTTTCCGATCTTTTTGGTCATCATGGCTGTCGCTGATATTGGTCTTATCGGTTTGGCTGTAATGGGACAAAATTTGGTCCTTAATATGAATGATCATGGTTTCACAGTACGTTTGAACTATTTGAAAATGCTATTCACAGGTTGCCGTTTTCAATCGTACTGTTTCCAAAGTGGATGAATTTTTGGCGGGCCCAGCGAAAGGGACAAAAATAATTGGGACTAAGTCTCTCGAAGAATTTGTAAGCAAACTGAAAAAACCACGAGTTGCGATGTTGTTGGTGAAAGCCGGTGATGCGGTTGAAGGTTTCATCGAAAAATTAGTAAGTATTTTGAGTTTTCTTGTATTCTCAGTTCTTTTCATTGACGTTAATAACTGACAATGATTTTGGAACATCCTTTCCCTTTGATCCATTTGAATAAAACAAGTAACAATGATATTGATATTGAATATTAACTTCGATTGCTCTCAACCAGCTGTATACACACATCAGTTAGGTTGGAATGGTTTAAGAAAATAAGAATATAATATATAGCAATATATAAGTAGTATGTGAATGACTGGACAAAATTCCCCTGGAAGCACGCGACCGGTTTCGCGGTTCTTGCCGCTCGTCAGACATGCGTATCCGGTAACCCATCACACCGTGGTAGTGCCGCCACTGTCTGTTCGCGACTGCTCATTTTTACGGTATGCAACAACCTATTCACAGCTAACTTTCTTCGGTGAAGGCATATCCCTATCCACAATCCTGGGACGCGCCTCTTAGCATTCAGCTCTGCTTAACCCGAGGGTATCCAGGTTATCCCACCCAGTCTCTAACTGCCGGTACCGTAATCCCCAGGTTCCAATCCAGACAGCTTAACGGGACCTATGTGACCCAGTCTCCTAATTATCGTGCTCGTACCCCATCCCAGGCCTTCGTTTAACCGCCTTTGACCGTTTTTCATCCGCTACCTGCCTCGTCAAACATCGCCCGCCCTGGCAACCTATCTGGTTACATACCCTGCACGTGCCCCAACCAGCGTAATCTATGGAGGTCGACCACTTGCTGTTTCAAGAATTAAATAGAAACGGTGAGAGAAGGCAACTCTGCCGAGCACCACTGTTTGTAGTGAACTCGATCGAAGAAGTGCCGTAAGCTTGGTATCGGCTTCGGCTATTGGTATAAAGGAATTGCAATATTGAAATAAATTTCTTGGGTTCACTCTTCAGAGCGAGGCAGCGCCAAAGTTTAGGGCACTCGACTGAGTCGAAAGCCGCTTTCAGATCGAGGACGATAGAAATGGCGGGTCTGCGAAAGGAGTGTCTATGTTCTAGAATTTGATGAAGAGTTAATATGTAGTCGATACAACCTTGACCAGTTGTAAAACTAGCTTGGTTCTTATGCCTGCATCGTTCACGTGAGGTAGACAATCGAAGGAGTATAACGCCAGAGAGAAGTTTAGAGACGATTTTGAATAAACTAATTCCTCTGTAGATTTAACAAGAGGAACTGCCGCCTTTCTTGTAAATCGGTATGATCACCGATTCACACCTTTTCCCCCTCCCACACTGAACCCAGGTGTTTCGTCAGTTCCACTACTAACGATAAACCTCAAAAGTCGATGAAGGCAGCCCATCTGAGCCCGAGGCTTTATACCTCTGGAGGCAAGTTATTTCCCGGAAACCCTCCATTTCAGATGGGGGACTGGCATAAACTATGAGTATTTGCCCTGTCTAGGTGTGTGTGTGTGTGGGGGGGGGTGATAGGTCAATGTCGTTGGGAGCCAGTTGAACTGAGCCTCGAAATGTTCAGCCCATCAATCAAGACTGTGTGACTGATGATGAATCAGTGTACCATCGGATTCCTTAATTACCTCACAGCTGTTTTCCTTTGGCCCGTATTCCTAATTAAACGGAAGAGTTCGACTAATAACAATAGCTGCAGCCTTCTCCATCTCTCTACACTTTCTTACCCATCACTTCTCGCGGTCACTCCTCAGAGTCTTGATGAGCTGGCGTTTAGGGCATTTGCGCAGTGTGTCATATGTGGCATCAGGAGGAAGAGTTCTGCAAGTGTTCAGCACGGCCGCCGAGGTCGACAAAATCCATCGTTTGTGCTTTGATCCCGCGCCCGAGTCCGCCGTTCTTCTTATTGATATTCGCATAGTTTCCCTCATTTGCTGCTAATATCCATCGAGCCCTTCGGCTGGTGGTTAGACTAGTAAGTGATCGAAGAGCTCCGCTTCGAAAGCCAATTTGATGCTGTCACTGATATTGTATCGTGGGCATCCGTTGTCGGTGGCTTTAGTGCGGTTGTTTACCAGGCGTAAGGAGAATTCTCATAAAGCGTGATCCGTATGCACAGGTGTTAGAGCGGTAATCTTGTGTTGACCCCTTCAGCGGTAGTTGATGACGATGTGGTTGATTTGGATCCATCGTTTTGAAGAGGTTGACGGTTTCCATTTAAGGCGGTGTCGTTGCTGGGGCGAAAAGTTGGTGCTTGATAGGAACAATCCGTGGTCCGCGCAAAGTTTAAGTAGGCGATATCTGTTGTCGTTCGGTTGGCTGGGATTGCATGTGGTCCGCCAAGAAGTCTTTCTGATTCGCCCAGGTATCCCACTTGAGCATTGAAGTCCCCAGCGACTACAACGAAACCCACTGATAGAATACTTTGGAGTAATTGAGAAACGCCATTGTAGAATTCATCCTTGATTTCAGGTGAACTGCAATCGGTCGGTCATCATCATTATCATCGTACAACGAAGTACATTGCAGTAAACTTCACTGATCGCTGTCAAACTCGCAATGCATGCAAGATTAGTGGTAAAATTTAAGGTGGGCAAGGAGTTGACCTACTCTGAGGGAGGGAGAAGAAGGTGAACCATTGAACAGAGTGCACTGAACTCTCCATACATACCGTCTTAAGCGTTCTGGTCGGTGCATACACCAATACGACGGATGAGCATCGTCGCTTCTTTCTGTAGCTGTTGTCCTGTTGTGAGCTGTCGAGACGTTCAGCACAGTCGGCTTCTGACTAATCCAGTCAAGAAGCGAGCGCTCAGCCTTGGCACTTTGCGCAATCCCGACACCAGGAACACCGCTAGCGTCGGATGCCGAATCACCTGACACACGAAGCGTAAAGCATGAAAATGATATTGGGTCAGGAAAACGCATGGATGTTATTGAATTAGGGTCNAATTGAATGTTTCAAGGATTCTAGGTAAAGTAGCTTGTTGAACGAACTTTGAAGAGTGTGCGGACGTTGAACGCGGCTAGTGAAAGGGGAATTTTAGCTTCAAAAATCCCATAACTTCTGATTGTGTTGCCTTAAGTAAACGTACAGCGATATCCGATGGGTGGCGCAAACAGGAGGCATCTCGAATGATTACGGGGTGAGAGAAAAAACTAGACATGTGGGAAAGAGGTTTCTCTAAATGGGTGTCTAAGACTTTAGGGTACGACGTAATTCGCAGTAGCCCACACCGACGAAGCGGTTTTTCTTTGGGAACCTGTATCGGAGTCTCCAACTCAAAAGTTTGTCCCACAAGGTAGTGGGGCATAAATCCAACGCGGGAGCGTGATCGAAGTATCCATATGGG